CCTCCTTAAATTCAAGTTGTAAAGTTTCAAACATAACAAATTTTTTTTTTGTGGCAATTAAATTGGGGAAAAAAAACCATAGCTCCTATATCTACCACTTTAAAACTTCCTTTTATAAATCTAAGACATGTCTATTTATCGATCATTTCGTCTTTTTCTAACTTGGGCATAATTGGAATTTGGGTGTTCTTTCCAACAAGATATATGTTTATATCGGATATATGATCCCATATTGATTTAAACAATTCTGAAGTGGTTAGCTTTTTAGCCAATTTGGGTGTTTTAAAAACTAAAGGCAATACTTAATGAGTGATATGTTGGTTACAACTACAAAACTTATTCCTTTACTAACCAACAATAGTTGTTTAGACTCATCACCAGTACTTCAATTGGGTTTAAATAATACACAAATTCAACATGGTAAGAAAAAGAAAAAACAATTTAACTTTCGAATAGGTTATGGCAAAAAAATCAATTTTTTTGTTGGTAATTTAAGTAAAGATGTAATTATTTTGATGATTAACTTGTTGGTGTCACCAAGTCACCAACTCTAATTTGGTAATTAGCATAATCAAATTCCTACCTTAATTAATTTAAATGCAGTATAGTTATGAATTTATGATATGAATTTCGCATTCACCATTCAACAAACAGAATTTATACACTCATCTATTTTATTACAATAGTTCAATTAATTACCGGATTTATATTATATTTTTACAAATGCTCTCAAGAGGTCGACATGGATGAATGGGATTTTGTCAATGTGTTTATGGGTTATTTTGTGATTGGTTTAAAACCTTGATGAGATAATTTAACCATTTACAACTTGATATATTAAGTAATACTAGTTGTTAACCTAGCTATAGGTTTATGCGTTGTTAGCTATGCTATTTAATTTCGAAACCAGAAGTAGTCTTTCATACTGACTAATTAACCCATGGTTTTCTCCACTAATCATTTTTTTAAATCTAAAGTAATATACTAACCTTGCTTTGAATATTTGTCAACAAGCTTATTAATATTACACTGTATTGTTGAGTGGTTAATTAAAATATTAAGTGGGAATAATTAATTAAATATTCATAATGGCCACGGAGTGAGATTTGTGGATGAACCTTTTTCATGTGGCAAACACATTGTCCCCTATAGTTTGATAATCAATATAGATATGCATATATATTTGATTGATCATATATTAGTTTTTTAAAACAAACGAGTAAAATAGAATGTGGTAAGTGTATCTCGTAAATCCGGGAAATAATATCACGAAACTTAGATTAAAAAAAAAAGCTTAACTTTGATGTTTATGGAATCATTCCAAAAAAGAGTTAAATTATTGGGACGAGCATTTAATACCACAATTAACATATATTACGAGGAACAATAATTCCTTATATACTTCAAAACTGTGTATATAAAATATAAATCCGAATATCTATCTTCTAATCTCAAAGAACTCTCCTTAATCTCATAATCATCTCTCATTCTTGTCGCCAATATGGAGGTAGGAGAAGCTTCAACCATCACTTGCTTCCCAACCACGGAACAAAATCCCCTTCAAAACCCTAACTTGCTGGTCAACCAACAAACAGAGACGAAGCTACAAAACCCTAAAACCACAAAAGGTCGACAGAAGATAGAAATCAAAGAGATCAAAGAAGTGAACCGAAGGCAAGTGACGTTTTCAAAACGCCGGTCCGGTCTTTTCAAAAAAGCGGCCGAGCTAAGCGTTCTAAGCGGCGCGCAGATCGGCATCGTAACGTTTTCGCGTTGCGATAGGATCTACACGTTTGGTAACGTGGACACACTCATCGAAAAGTACTTGCACAAGACTACGGTGATGCTGAGGTCACATCCCGGCGGTGAAGTGGCGAACGGAGAGGAGGGAGACGAAGGTGTGATGTGGTGGGAGAGGGAGGTGGAGAGTGTGGCGGAGGAAGAGATGGAAGAGTACAAGAATGCTTTGAGTGTGTTGAGGGATAATTTGTGGACAAGGATCTGCGAGTTGGGTGGTGATAGAACGGTCGAGATGAATGTTCCGGCGTTGATGAATCCGACGGTCATGAACGATCATCGAGGTCATGGAGGTAACGATCATGGAGGTCTAGAGTTTGCTATGGTTCCGTTTATGTCTCCAAACGCTAGACAATGAAAGTGTTTTTCATTAAGATATTACACTCCGGTGTTATTACATATGGTAATCTAAATTTATTTTAAAATTCGTTTAGCTAAATGTTCCTTGTTGTACGAACATGTAGTTCTAATATCTACTATAAAAGGAAATGAAAAACCAAACTATCTATTAAAAAATCTTGTGTTCATGTACATCGTTTGAAGTTAACATCGTTGATCCCAAGTTCGGGAACTGTTTACCGGAGAAATGGTCGGTTTGATGACCTCATTAGTGAGACAAGTTCCTATTATCATTTTAAGTGTGTTAGGTGTTAACCCATCTATATCGGAAAAAAAAAAAGCACAATGCGAAAACCGAATTAGGTTTTGAAGGATCACAAAACATGAACTTTGACGATCTGTAAAGGAACAAAATTGATAGTTTAACTTTTCAAAGGCAAGATTAACA